CCTCGCACAGGGCTAACTGGTGCGCTGTTCTATTGATGTGTCTGCCCCCTCGTTAAGGCCGAGCGTTACCAGAAAAACAAATGATAACAGTTTGATGGCGGTTTACGTTGAATAAATATCTTTTCTGAATTATTTTAATTACATCTGTCATTAAGCGTAAAACTATATGGGGCAATATCAGCGTGGCATTTCTTCTACCAGCGTAAGTTTAGATCAGTACATCCAGATGAAGCGAATTAGTCAAAGCGACATTCCACGATTGCATTGTGGGAATGTAATTGTTCGTCATCAAAAACTATACCTTTATTGTCTGATAATGTATTTTTTTTTCGATTGTTCTAACCGCTAGGCATCTTAGAATGGCTTTTAAGCGTTTTTTACGCTTTCCCTACCCTTATACCTCTCGCCACGCTTCTCTGGTTCGGGCTATTAAGGTTGGGAGTTGTTTCGGCATGTCCCCATACATTCCTTGCCATTGTAATGGTTGGGGGTGGGGTTTTATGTCATAATTGATTTGAGCCAATTGACGTATTAACTTGGGCTCTCTATTTCCCGCCCTAGCCACGCCCCCGCCTGATTGACATCAGCGGTCAGGTGGCTCGGTAAGTGTGTTTTTTTTCTATTTCCGTATCGGTTGTAGATTTCACTCCACCACGGGTTTAGTTGTTGCCAGACAGAATGCCACTCCCGTCTCAAATATCTTTGGGAGTCTGTCTTATGCTTATATGTACCCCAAGGAGGACTTCTTCTGAAAAAGAATTATACAAACCTGTAGAGGTTATGAATTCTTTGAAGAAAGTCCTCCTTGGGGTATGGCCACCTGCCTCCCCTTATTCTGTCTGATACGTTCAGCATGAAAAGTGAGGTACAAGGTAGAAGGTGAGAGTTACCTGCTCTTGGCTGTAGGGGTCCAGTGGGGCCCTGTAGGGGTGGTCTCATAAAACATAACGAGTTTTTTGTTTTGTATATATTTTATTGAAAAATATAGTTACAACTGTCGTAGGATTTAAAATGGACATTTTAATGCTTATATGAACCCCAAGGAGGACTTTCTTCAAAGAATTCATAACCTCTACAGGTTTGTATAAATTCTGATACCCCCTAGATTGGAAAAGAAACTTAACACAATAAGGTAAAATACAGTCAAGGTATTATAAGGCCAGGTTATTGCAAATGTTTACATATTACTTTCAAAACACCACATTGGTAGGAGTAGCGTGTATCATATCATCATGTGTAAATTTGTGATTGTTCAATCTTGACACCCTTGGATATGTCATGGTAGTTGAGTAGTTGGGTTTATGAGTCAGATCTGATTAACAAGCCAGCATTTGAGTAGCTTTTGAAATGTTGGTATCACTACACTATTCAACATTATAGCTAAAACACATGGAATTATCATGAGATTTGCAGGCCCGCTGCAAATGATATTGGACCGCTCAACCTGAACGACGGGCCACTATTAGTTCTGTTGTCAAGTGACATCATAGTTGGTGCATGGGCTTACGGTTCATTCGACTTTGGCTTTGGACTGGCAGATATTCTAAGGCAAACAAGTCAAAGCAACCCGAATTCCATAGCGGTAATATTGGCTTTCTTGCTGGTGCTATCCTTAACAATTGCACTAATGACGTTGTTGTTGGACCAAAACCGAACACTGACAACTGACGTTGTGTCTGACATAGTTTGACATGTTGCAAGCCATTGTCTTGTCAAAGGCCAAGGTCGAATATCGTCACGTTCTGTTGTGACGTCACTTGAATTGTTTGATGACGTAATTGCATTCGGTCAGTCAACCCTGTCAGAAGGTGGTTTTGAGTAAACTTACAGTCAAATTCCTTCATTGTTTCCTTTTTCTTTTCAACATTAATTCCATGTATTTTAGCAATAATAACGGTAATGCTATGTTTGAGCGGCATTATCATTTGCAGAAGCCCTCAGTCTTTATCAACTGCCCTCCTTCGTCAGGGCAGTTAATGGAAGACCTCAGACTTCTGCAAATGATAATGCCCTCAAAACTAGCATTACCCTTATATTACCATGTGCCCAGGATTTGAAGTAGCCTCTCAGTATCATTTATGGAATGTGGTTATGGGGCTTGTAATGGCTGAGCTTACTGTCAAGGACAGACTTGTACTAGATGCAGTTTTCAGAAAAGTGACTAACGTCCCAAATCAGATTTTTAACTTTCTCTGTGAACCAGTTTTATGTAGATTTAGCCATATTGGTTCATAGAAACGATGATAGAATGTGAAAACCTGGTATCCAGATGAAGGACCCAAGCTTTCTGATTATCTTAAGTCCAGATAAGTGAGGTTTCATTGTGCTATTTAATTCTTGAACTGACACCTTCATGTCATGCTATCGTCTCTCTAGTCACTAATATGAGCTAATATTACTAAGACTGTGTGTGAACTACATTCAACTGGTCCCAAGCAATATAGCTGGGATATTGCCTGGGGAGGAGTTAAACAACAAACACATCTAAACTATGTTTCTCTATAATGGGGCTGTTACGATCCACTGCTGTATTCAGAGATTGAACCATATCCCTTCATGAATTCTATTCATTATATGGGGGCGGTAGGGTAGCATAGTGGTTCAGGCATTCGCTTGTCACGCCGAAGACCTGGGTTCGATTCCTCACATGGGTACAATGTGTGAAGCCCATGTCTGGTGTCCCCCGCTCTGATATTGCTGGAATATTGCTAAAAGTGGCGTAAAACTAAACACACTCACCCATTCTATTCATTATATTCACTGAATCAAACATTTTCTGAATTTGTTTCAGAGGAGTGTTTTACATGGATTTGAGGGTTATTTATCAAAATGAGATAAAATGGAATGGAAATTATCCATGTCAGTCATGGTCATAGTCAGCACCCCTATATATTTAACTTGACAGTAGTGTGGTCACTGGTCTTGATAAATTATGCTGTTAAGATGGTAAAACATGTAAAGTATTTTGTTATTGTTTCACTGAATAATACATTAACTGCTGACTTCTTTCTGTATCCGTTACCCAGTATTCATGATATGTATCATATTCACCTCATAGTCAATTTGTTGCAGAATAACATTATTGAACAAACTTATGGATAAGAACTTCTTTATATCGTGAGTGCGATGTTTCAATCCAGATTCTTGCACAGTTGTCAAGCAGGAATGACAGGAATTCCTCTTTGACAACAGTACGAAAATCTGTATCAAAATGTTGCTCTCACATAATAAAAGAAGTTGTTATCCATAAAGTTTGTTCAACATTGTACGTCCCAACTTCTAAAATGCCACTCAAAGAAGCTGCTGAAGAACATTAAACAGTTGAATTGTGCTTTGTCAGGGTAGAGGAATTGTGTAATTCAGGAGATAACATGTATGCATGAGAATAGCCTACTACTGTTGTATTTAATGTAGTAAGATACTGATTATTTCAGTTTAGTTACTTTAATGTTAAACTTTGTCTTAATGTCAGGGCTCCAGATAAGGGCCGTATTGGCGTATGTACGGATAAAAAATATGCACGATACGGTAGGAAATAATTTAGAAAACGTAGCAGATACGCACCACAGCAATGGTGTTCGGTCTTAAAATCATTTACAGACGTATTTATGTGAAAAAGTATTGTTTTATTGTTTATTGACCTGTTTACACAAGAGAAGCAATGTTGTGGTGCATATATGAAACGAAACACAAGATTATTGATACTCAATTAAATTCCATTCAGTACTCTAAATTTACACGTTTTCCAGTACTCCTATATTTGGAAAATGAAGAGTACGTACTCCTGAAGTTGAAAAATTATCTGGAGCCCTGTAATGTATATTGTGCTGCTTTTTTCGAGTTATCTGATGATTTACATGATTAGTATGATTGTTTATGATAATTTACTTGTAGTAGTAGAAGTGAAGTTACTTTATGGTGACGTCTTTAATTCTTCTTGTTGTTGTTAATTACTTAGTAATACAAGTGGTATGTTGTGATAGTATAAGACCACCCATGCTTGTCGTAAGAGGCGACTAACAGGATCACATGTCATCGCATCCCAGTTGTGTAGATCAATGCTCATGCTGTTGATCATGGATTGTCTGGTCCAGACTCAATTATTTAAAGTCTGCTGCATGCAGCGTTAAACACCAAACCGTCCAACCAAGGTATAAGACCGCTGTTGAAACAATCTGAAATACTCTTGCAATGGAACTTCTTATCAAACATCAGTGACAACTCAGTATCTTCCGGAATTACAAGACCAGGAAAGCTCAACCGTCATGAAACGTCATGAGTAAATTCAACTTTATTCCCAGTAGCCTATTCTTAGCATTGAGTGTTTGGACATGGTATGTTCAGGTTTATCTGAAATTACTCATATGTATTGTAATGAAATGCAAGCCTAATAATTGAAAGGGACTAGAAGTTACAACAGTGTTGCAAACATGATGGTTCAAAATTTGCTGAAGTAGTTTCCACTGTTACAAAAGTATTGGCATGGTAGAAGTAGGTTCTGTGCCTAGAGGGCACACCTTAACCTATAAGTTAAAATTCTTTGATAATAATACCAGGCGATGGTGTGTATTTTATGAAGGCGGTGATAAATATTCTGCTCAAACTTACAACTTTATCATGATTTCTGGTTTTATGCTTTTTAGCAATGTTTCGTGGTAGCTTCTTACACCAACCTGTATGTCACCCTGACCTGTTGTTGCTGGATCACTACTAAGTCTTCATTTGAAAGTCAGTCACCATTACGAAACAGTTGAACTCTAACTACAGCAAGTATTGGTATTGACATACTGTTCAATTTATTGTGGCTTGGTGGACATGTTGTGAGAGTTCAAAGTTTACATAAGACATTGTTGGTTCTGGAGCGACCGTAACATTTCCTTGTGGACTAACACCTTTATCATGAGGTAGAGAGCAACTCAGATCATTTTGGCAGACAAGTGAAGAAGTACTAGTATCCATGTTACTATTAGGCCTGTGATCACCTGCAACTTCTCTTCCAGGCCTCATCTCCAGAAGACTCCTTGGTCGTCACTTCCAGTGAAGACAACCAAGCTAGATCACCATCCAAGATGTCAACACCTCCTCCACCACCACTAATATATACATCAACTTCATCCACACAAACAGTCAAACCAGTAAGCGATTCAAGTCTGAAACTTGTCAAGTTAAACATAAGTATATAATGGCAAAGCATCATTTGTTAGAAAGTCAAGATGTATTTCTGATTTTCATCTTAGCATATTTTAATGATGGGGTACATGATATATACACCTTATGTTCCTTAGGTTCTCAGATGTTACAGATGTGTTTGTATTTAGCATGTTAACAGGGACATAAATCCATTGTTTGGTGCCCATTGCTAGTTTAGTGAATACATTGTAGTTACCATGGTTACCTCACTGAGGATTCTTCATTAGAATAGGTCCTTTACAACAGATGATGGTCATAATAGGCGACTGTTACAGATTCTGCAATGGCACTGAAGAATGCTTGCTTCTGATTGGCTAAAAGAAGGTTTCTATTTTTGTACTGAACATTTTTGCAATTTAAACTTTTTCACGTAAATCTGTGTGAATACATCAATAGCTTCAGTGCTCAGTTCCAAATTATAGTTAGTGGTGTCTACTCTACAGTGAGACTCTGTCAAATTTCGAAACACAGTAGGTTTATTGCCCAATCAGGCAGTCGGGCTCGGTGAGTTGGTAGGGTGTCCTCATAGTCAAACTGGAAGGATGATAACAGATATTTCACTAGGGAATTCCCCAATAGAAAAATTAACAAAGGAGCAAATGTCTCTACAACAGCAGACACTCTTTGACTCAGGTATCCTTTAAAATGCTGTTGAAGTTATAAGGTGAGGTCAGCATGTCATGCAGCTGTTGATGCCATGTGTTTCAGAAAGTGCATGCGGTCTCAATACAGACAGATGAAGTGAAGACGTCACCTGTACACCCAAGCAGTGGTGGCGTCAATGAGGAGAAGACATCCAAAAATAACATTGAGTTTGAGACTCTGAAGAAAGAGCTCAAAGAACAGAAAGATCAGGCCCTTTCGAAACTAGAGGAAAGGGTAGGCTAACCTCTGTTTGATTTGATTTCTGGAGGCAAATTCTTCATCTGATTGTTTCCTGAAAAATCATTTATCCTCGGGACATTGTAAGCCTTATAAAAGCTACTGGATATACTAAGAAAATATCATTTCAAATATAACATTTGTTACTGCTTGAAGTAGTTGTATTGTGACAAATTTCATGGCAATGCCCTTTGTCCATATTTCAGCCAATTTGATAAAATGTCTTGGTGATGTAGCCTTTTTGGCAAAGGTTGTCAGTAAGAGAACGTGTAAAATTGGCTCTTGAAAACCCAGTCTTGGTGTCCCCTGCCTAATATTGCATGAATGAATCTGAAAGCTCAAAGGAACATCATATTTAATCTCTCAATCCTTCGAACATGACCACCGTTGTCTTTTTTGTTTTTCTTGTAACTCAGTGGAGGTTAAGCATATTAAGCATAACTGTTATAAAATATATAAGAAAAATGTTTAGGAGGGTTTTTTATTATATTGTTTGTGCGTTCACTAGGTGTTCAAGTTCAGGTTTCAGCCTCAAGGATGGACTGGCTTTTTCGTGTCAATAGATTTGTCATAGCCACTACTTATGTTTGTTTCACGCCATGGTGGGGGCGAGAATGAAGAAACTATTTGCATGTTCCATTTCAGCTAAAGAAGGACTTTGAGGAGGACAAGCAGCAAGCAGTGTCGCGAGCTCTGACCAATATGCAGCGTGAGATCGATCGGGCCAAGCGACAGGCTGAGGAGAAGTGTAAGGAGCAGTATATGGAAGAGATGAAGAAGCTGGCCCAGAAACACAAGCAGGACATATCACAGACCAAGAAGAAGCAGTGGGTAAGTTGGCACTCAGGCAGTAGATTCAGTAGGCCTTTACACAGTGGCTCATTCTGTGTGTTTTTAGAAGAATCAGTGAGTTCTTATTTAATAGGTCAGTAGACAGTAGGCTCAGTAGGCACTCACGGGGTCAGTAGGCCCTTACACAGTGGCTCATTCTGTGTGTTTTTAGAAGAGTCAGTGGGTTCTTATTTAATAGGTCGGTAGACAGTAGGCTCTGTAGGCACTCACGCAGTAGGCCCTTACACAGTGGCTCATTCTGTGTGTTTTTAGAAGAGTCAGTGGGTTCTTATTCAATGGGTCAGTGGCACTCAGCTAGTAGGCTGTTACTGGGTCAGTCAGTGTAGTTTTAGAAGAGTTTGGTAGTTCTTTGGCAGCAGCTTTTTGTTTAGTTGGTCAGTAGGCACTCAGGCAGTAGGCTCAGTAAGCACTCACACAGTAGGCCTTTACACAGTGGCTCATTCTGTGTTTTTGGAAGATTCAGTGGGTACTTATTTAGTGGGTCCGTAGGCACTCACACAGTAGGCTGTTACTGAGTCAGTCAGTGTAGTTTTAGAGGAGTTTGGTAGTAAGCAGTGGGTACTATCTAGTGCAACAGTAGGATCCTAGGTTCATGGACAGTAGGCACTTGATGCTTGGACAGTAGGCAATCGGGTGGTTGGACAGTAGGCAGTTGGCACTTGAGGGTAGCTAAGCAGCTGGGACTAGTAAATGTGTATAGATTCGTAAGCACTTGAATCATAATCATTTTTGAAAACTCATATTACTGCATAAAACAATTATATATTTTTATTTCTCAGTGGGTTTTACTTTTTTCCAGTTTGAGATGAAGTTTCTTGTCTATGAATGATGTTTAGGTGAAGTGGTACAGAAACATGTCTTCATTATGATAGTAAGTCAAAATTACAATGTGATTGTTTGTCCTCTTCTTGTGACTGACCGATTTACCTGATTACATTTCAGTGTTTTAACTGTGAAGAAGAGGCTATGTACCACTGCTGCTGGAACACATCGTATTGTAGCGTGAAATGTCAGCAAGAACATTGGCACAAAGAACACAAACGCGTGTGTCGGCGGAAACGTTGACGTTATGCCCCGCCTAGTCATCATCAACTTTCAGCACCATCTTCAACATCATCAAGATAAATTACTTCAGAGTCATCATCTTCTACATTGCTGACTCAACATCAGCAATATTCAATAATTTGATCAGTCATTTGTCTCATCTTCATCCAAAGGATGCTGCTTTTGTTACTTATCTATTTTCAATATATTCAACTGAAGAAGTAGATTAACGCTTGAATAATGTTCCAAACTATCTGTGTACGATCAAGACACAAGAGTGTGCACTGGTCAGTACGATACATTGTAGGAGGATGCTTTTGTCTCTTTGATAGGCAGATACTGATTAGTGAAGACTGTTTGTTATTCAGTGTAATTCTGTAGTAAGTTGTGCTTCACTAACAACCCATTCCTGTACCTGGAAGATCCAGAGGTATGGCAAACACTGGTCCCAGGAAGAAGAGTGATTTGTGCAGAATGTTCAACATTAAGGTTTACTTCATTTTTGCTGATTTATAGGTATCCCAGTCTTATAGATTAAGGAAATTATGAAGAAAAAATATCAGAATCAAAAGAGGCCAAGCCAAGATAATATTCATATAGTCACCTGCTAACAAAATTGGTCACAGTTAAAATCCGTAAACAAAGAAAAACATTTTCCTTTTCCTAAACCGTATGTTAAGATCTGGGCGTCCCTTGATTTAGACATACACAACAGCCCCAGAGTATTTATTCGGACACTGATTGGTAGCCACCATCAGCACATGTCAAATTCAAACTCCTTGACCTTGACCTTGAATGAACAGACACGATGTGTACATAAGTCCAAGTTTCAGGCCCACCCACTGGCAACTACTGTCTCAGGTACTGGTTTTTTGATTTGTTACCCCTGAGGTTTATACTTATCTTAGATCTTTGTAGGAATTACCATCAGAGCATACTGATAATAAATAACCTACTGGGTAAACTACTGGGTAAAGCAGTACAATATCATTGAGGAATTGCTTGTTTGTAAGGACAGATGTATCCAAAGTGCAAGGCTATCTTAGTAGTACAATTAAGGTTAGTATTTGATGGGTTTTCAAGCAACAATAGTGTAGGCACAAATATATTTGGATCTGCATCATGTGTGTCCAGTTTTAAAGAATACAAGAATCACATGACACTACACAAATCAGCTGGAGATAATAGGGCTTTTAGTCCACGAGACTTCATGTTTCCCAAGGATATTATGGCTTTGTGTATGACCAGTCTTAATTCAAGATATGTTTTCATTCATAACCAAAACTTGTACATTTGAAACAACAAGCTATTCAATTCCACATGTATATGGCTTTAATTTGGTCAGAGACCAGTCATCCATTAAAACCTCATAACCAATTCCTAATTGTTTCATGTTGAATTTCATGTCAGTAGAAGTAATCTGATCCATCACATATTTTGCTGTACTTGTACTTTTTCATTCATCTGTGAAATATTAAGAGCTGATGATATAAAACACCACAAGACAAAACAAATCAAATCAAATCACACTTACCGGTACCTTTTCCAAGTTTTACTTACAAATAATAATGCATACTATTTGAAGTCAAGAGCTGAAGTGTTAGTCAGGTAATGGTTTGCAAACAGGCAGCTAGAAGCATCTCTATTTTGAGAGATTTGATTTGCTATGATATGTGAGCCCTCGGCTCTGATCTTGCCTTATCATTTACCAAGCAGGACTTTGGTATTGTTTTAGATTGTCCAGCCTTAAAATGTATCCCACTCAAGGCACAAGTATATGTCCTCCTGACGTATATGTCAGGCACATATTTCATCATGTTTTGTTTGCTTCATGAGTTTTCAGGTTTTATTTTACAAGTTATTTAGAGCCATACTTTAGAAAATATGTCCAAGGGAGTTGGTTATTAGATTGAAATACATGTAATACATTCTGTAAGAGGAATCTTGAATGGAACTTGTATGACTTTGTATAATCTCCTTAAATATTGATTTATTTTATTTATATCAATGTTCATATCTTTGTGAAATAATTACATGAGAATAAGTTTGTTATAGGGCAGTGTCTTTTGGAAAATATATTTATTGCAGTATATTGCGATTCAGGTACCTGTATTGCGTTATAAGCTGAGCTGAAGTGTTGGACAATGAGTTGCACTGCTAGTACATACAGTACTATTTTCTACATACTAAGTCCCTAAAAATGTATGTTATGGTTCTGAAAACAATTTCAAAATGAGAATGGATAGGGATTCTTTTTCTTCTTTTATACAATTTTTAGTAATTAAAATATGTTGTTTTGTCAATTAAGTATGAAGGGAAGCATCAATTGTGAATGAAAGTCAGTGTAGAGTTCAACTTAAGATAATCACAGAATTCTCATATTTGTTTTACCCTAGTACTGGGTCTCAGAAAAAAAGATTGCAACATGAAATGTTTAAAAAGCATATTGCTGTATACCGGTTATACTCTGCAGTCCTAGTTTCTTGTAGGACCACAATTACTACTGTAGACTAATTCATATTGCTGTGTAGGCATTCTGTAGTTGATTCTCCCAGAATCACTCAGATTAAAGGAATGAACATAGAGGCCAGAATAATTGATTTTCATCCACAAGATGACGAATATGGCAATCAAAATGCTGACAGTTAAGAATCCATGTAAATTATCCTGCTATTGCGTGTAAATATTCTGTCTTACCCATATCCTTTTGATCTATGAGAAACATCTATTCAGCTTGACAGGATCTATAAGAGGGGTAAATCAGCGGGTGTTATCACACACAACTGTGTATATATGAGTATCATATGTAAATGGGGAACAGTTATCTCCACTGTCAACATACAAATGGAGAATGTATTTCTATCTTTTATTATTTTCTGATAGATTTTGATATGACATTTGCAGTAGAACAGTTATCCTGTTTGTTGCGAGGTGTGAGAGCTGAGATGTGCTCCGTCACCTGTAAAGTTTATACAGAGTTGGGCTGACTGTAGGGCTGAGAAACTTGTGTTTGATTCTGGACCCACACTTGGTGGACTCAGACACAGAAATTATCAAACTGGTCTATGCTGCTTTTCATATTCAGTCTTTATTAATCAAAACATAAGATATTGTCTGCAGCTTTGGACAGGTTCAGTTTCAGTTTCAGACAATGTACATTTACCGATCATATCTTAGATCAATCAATCAATGCATGTCTGATCATTTGAAAGGTTCGTTTATAGTATTGTCAAGGATATCCGAGTAACATTAGTTACCTGGGCTCTGTTCCTCATAGCAATCTTGTCACTTTGACTGTCGTAAGCCTGTGTTAAAGTATCAGACTTAAGATCACCTTGCAATTACTATTTTATTGTGGAACAGGGCATCGTTTCCACAAAATGATTTAAGCACTAAGACTGACATAAGCCTGTGTTAATGTATGGGAGTTACGACCACGTTATGATTACTATCGCATTTCTTCTTTTCAGTGGCATTTTTACTATAATTTTAGAAGTTGTTCATCCCTAAAGTTTGTCCTAATCTACTATTGCATTGTGGAACAAGGCAAAGGTTCCACAAAATGATCTAAGCAATGTAGCTTGAATATTGGGAATTACAGTCATCTTGGCTTTCGATCATGTAGGAGAACAAAACCCAGGTTCACCCAAATCATTTGAGACTTAGGACTGCAATAAGCCTGTGATGAAGTATTTGGGTCAAGATCATCTCAGGACATAGATCACTTGAACGGGGTTCTGTACAAACATCAGAGAAAGAAGTACACATCAGGGTCCTCATCAACAAAACGTTCATAGCCCTACAACATTCTAAAGCCAATGATAAACAGACAGGTCGTAACATTATGAACGCTTTGTGGATAAGAACCCTGGGCCTAGATTTTCAAGGCTCTCTTAACGCTAAGATAGTCATAAGTGTCATACATTAACATTAACTTACGACTATCTTAGCCCTAAGAGAGCTTCGAAAATCAAGGCCCTGGCACCTAATACTTGTCAGTTCTGAAGACACTTCATGACCCAAACCACCTCAAATGAAAGTGGCTTGAATCAGGTTTGTTTGACTTTCCTATCTCTTGTCTGAAACCTGTTCAGACAGACTCCATAACTGACAGCAGCAAAATTGTGAATCAATCATACAGACCTACACCTGCAGTCACATTGGTTATACGTCTTGTCTTTCTTCTGACCTGCAAACTAAACTGATTAGCTAGAAGATTATCAAATATGTCAATACCTGTAGGCACCATTCTATATTACATCTGTGTAGCTAAGGGATCTGACCAAAGTGTTTGTCATTTGGGCCATGTGTATTACAGTTGACCCAGGGTCACAGTCCACAAAACGTTGTAGCGCTACGACATTCGTTAGCCTGTAGTAAACTATAGAGTTACGACATGTTGTAACGTTACGAACGCTTTGTTGATCGGGGCACAGTAATGTATGTTTTTACACCAACACCATCAGTTGGAGTGAAACTGAAAGTTCCTTTTGTTCAAACTGTTAACTTTATACACAGATATGCTGTTATTGAACTCAAGTGTATGGTTGTGCTCTAAGAGCAATCCCGGACTCAAGACAGTTCTTTATGAAAAGACCAGTTATGAGAACATGTAACTTAGCAACACCTCACCCATTGTATCTTGATTTAGTCACTCGTTCCGACAGTTACTGAGTGACTGTCTGAATCATTACAATGGTGGTGACACTGATGGTGATGAAATCAGTGGGTGATCAGGTTGGGGTGAAAACAGGAAAAAAAGACATTTCAAATTCTTTGTTCTACCAGGATTTTGAAAGTCGTTTGCCATGTGTGCTGTGTGTTATTGTATTAAACATTTTGGAGATAAACTACTGGTTCATCTTTTTCATTAGAGGTATAATTGTTTTACCAGGTATTTGCTTTTCAGTTTTGTTTTAATTCTAAAATTTCATTATTTATGGTTTTGTAAACCAATGTTTTATAAAATAAGGATTACTTAGGTAAAACCTGTCTATCATTGTGTCCTCACTTGAACAATAATGACCTGTCTACTCATTTCTCTGATACATGTTGTTAGAAATTTGTTGGTGTCTATGCAAATCCCACCAGAATTGCTTGGTAGTATGTTGCTCTTTTAATCAGTCAGTAGTCTGTTTAATTGGTCACCTTGCAAGATTATACCATATATTTTTGTATGTATAGACTATTTCTCAGTGATCCAAATTATTATGTTTCTAATGACATTGGATCTCTTACCTATGATTAAATCTACAGTAATTGATCCTGTTGCTTGTGTTAATTAACTATTGAAATAGAAAATCACATCATTAATTTATATCTCGTTTGTTTTAAAACAATCCCAAATGCATCAGTGGACAGTGCAGATTCAGAGAAGGGTGGACTTATTTTCTTGATCCTCCCAAAATTACACACTGCCCAGTGAGAATCTGTTAGAATTGATTGTCAGTAATCCATAATTCGGGTGAACTACAATTGAACAGATTGGGTGGTGAGACTAACTGGTTGACATGTCATCATATCCCAGTTGCATGCTGATGATGTCAATCAGTGGCGGATCCAAGGGGTGGGGGTTCAGGGGTTTGAACCCCCTGAACCCCTCCTTTCAAAATTCCTGGATCCACCCATGTCAATCACTGGGTTTTCTGGTCTGATTATTTACATATAGCTGGAATATTGCTGAGTGTGGTGTTAAACAACAAACAAAGAAAACATCTGTAATATTTGGGATTAGTTTCTTAGTGCAGTACAGATTCTAGTACTTTTGGTTGGGTTAACTTCCATCCGGATTCAAATCCATACCCTCAGAGTCAGGCACCTAATTGCCAAAACAAAGAAAAGAAAGGCAGCAAAAGAACAAGACAGGTATTCTACCAGGTGACATGTAAGAAACAGAAACCAGTGATATTTATCTGTGGCGAGTGTTTCTCCTTGACTGTGTATGAAGTAGGAACTTTCATTGAACTAGAGGTATTTAATATGTATACTACTCAAAACAAGTTAAGAAATTCCCATGATTGGAAGGTTATGTTGCAGTTACAATCAGACGTGACGTGACCGCACCACCTGGGGCTTTCCTTCCATATTCAGCTGACATGCTCTGATAAAACTGGAATACTGTTCAAAGCACCAGCAAACCCAAATCACTCACTCACTCAATGTTAATATATGAACAGATTTAATAGATATCTCTGATCAGAACTATTGAACCTTTTAATGAACATGATCACTTCAGAATGGACAGAAAAAGTATTGTGTTTCAGGATGAAAATGTAGGCATATAATTCTTTTATAAGACAAAATATTATGGATGTCAACTTCATTATTGTATACACAATGTTTCTGGGCTATTCCTTGCCCCATCGTCATTCACCTGACGAAGGGGCAAGGAATAGCCCTGAAGTGTTGTGTATACAATAAAGAAGAAGTTGACATCCATAATATTTTGTCTTATACTTGAATCCCAATTTCTATATACCTCTCAAGAGAACCTCATATAATTCTTTGTGTGATAGTTTTAGGGGATAAAAGGTTCTCATGGTGTTTTGTCGATGTATATAAATACCTGTCACAGTTTGCAGTTGAGTTTGTTAATCACTTCCATAATGACAACATTGGAACTCTGAAACAGTGTCCTCGTCACGATATGGCTGAAATATTGCTGATGTGACGTTAAATATTAACTCACTCACTGAAACAGTGTCCCTGTAACTGGAGCAAATCCAAATCAGGTTGATAACACCAAGCACAGGAATCCCATTCATTGGATAAAACTGTTTATCACATTCATATATTATGAAAACTCACAAGATGTTTTGAAGTCTTTTAGTCTTCTCAAAAAGAAACACCCCCCAGTTATTTCATGTTACTATAGTTACCCCTCACACGCCTTTAATTCTAGGTATGAAGAACTCACCTCATGCATGGCGGTATACGGTATGTATTATGCCATGGCAGATAAACTATAGTGATATGAAAGAATCTGGTGGTCCTTCAATTTCATTGGGTAGCATAACGTGGTATGTGATTATAATTGTTAACTTTGAAATGAACCTTTTAGATATATTTATCAAATAAGCTATAGAACTTTGATTATATTATATTTCAGCATTTTGTTGACCATACGATGCTAATATTTGAACTGATTGATTTCAGGTGCTTGTGGCAGGTTTTAATGTATTTCACATTTAAGGGTTGGATTCCTTAGTTACAATGCAAGGCCAAGCCATTTTATTTTATATATCAACTTGTACAGATAACTTGTATAATGCTTCACCAACCATTGATTCTTTTATATATAGTCACAGATATTTTATATTTTCATGGTTAACAAATGTGAGAACGCTCAAAAAATGTGTTGTAAGTTGTCCCTATTTTCTTAGTTTTTGTTTAATGGATGACAAAGGCATGGGTAGTGCTTGTAACCATGGTAACATACCTTACCCTTGCTAACTTCTGAATATTGTTTATGCACATGGAACAAAAGCATTGAATTTATTTACTTTCTAATGTGCTGAATTTTGATTGGAAGTAAAACCGAGCACATGTGACCAGCCTGAGCTGATCAGCCAAACAACTGTCTCATTCAAACTATTTTGATTTTGAAACCATGTCAGAAAGAAATTATGCAATTACCAGTAAACCGGTTTTGTGAGCATGGATTTCAGTTTGCTTTGATCAAAACCATCATGAAATGTTCTTCCTGTGAGAACTTTCAAAATTGCTGACTCAACTGATTTTACAAGAAAAGACAAGCATCCAGGCTAGATGACCTTCTGGAATGAAACTGTAAATTTCAAGGAATGTAGGATTTCTAAAACAAAGACAATAAAAAATGGTGTAGATTCAGATGTATGTATTAGCATTTTTAAAGGAATAAACTGTTATTGCAACTTCAAAATATGTCTTATAAGATACTTTTTTAATTTTTATTTTTATTCTAAGTCCCTGTTACAAAATAAAAGCAGGCACCGGTGGTACCCATGTTAGTAGTGTCCAGCCCAAGCAAGAAGGGTATGTAAACAGTTTTAGAGAACACAACCAAAGTTTTTAGATGTGTTTAAGGAGCTATTGTTATGTATGATGATATTTATAGTAGGATTGACTGTAGAGGTATGAATATTATAGACTGTTATTTTATTATATTATATTATTGGGTATTTATATTTTAAATTGGACATTGACTTAGACACTCATTGATGCTCGCATCCACATGATTTCTGAGCTCCAGGAGTAGACAGATCCAAATTACATGAGTCATTGTAAAACATTCTCTTGGTAAAGAAGTTGTTGGCTTTTTGAAATATTTCTTTTAATGATATGTCTGTTGTGAACACAATGCTTAAAGTGTTTACCATTTGGGGGTTATAAGTCATGTGAAGTTCATCTACAGATCCTGATAAGCTTCCTTCAGCCTAGTCTCAAGACTGGCAGCATTTGAACAATGGAGTATTTATTGAATATTGACTCAGGACCATCATGTCTTATTGCCTGTTTTCAGATTTTCAAAACTAGTATGCCAAAAATGGTTTGAATTAAGATAGGAAACTATAAATAATACCTTCCATATTTGAAATGATTCATCTTCTGGGAACTATGCTCCCCAGTCAAGTGTCCAGATTGGAAGGGTTTTGTTTTTTTAAATTATGGGAGGAACTGGAAAATTCTAAACACACTTCTACTTCCATATTCCAAAACTCCATGTATATTGTGGAAATATAATTTTATATATATTGTATAAGGAAAACTCCATATGCTTGACATACATGCTCTTGTGATGTAATGAAGTTGAAGAATCCGTTAAATGGATTACCCAAAAGTTATTGCCATGGATTGTTTACAATTACAGTCAAACCTCGTCTTGAACTCAGATGTATGAAACCCTTGGGTGTCTCAGGATCTTTCAAACTTTATCACAGTTTTTCACCCGCATTGGAAGGCTAACAACCGTGTCTTGAGTTGCCCAACACTAGAATAGGGAAGTTTACAGGACATTGTTATGTCTTAATGCTGAGCAATCAGTTCACTGCAAGTGCTCAATTGTCTTCATTGTTGTGAAGCAGCTCACAGTACTTCTTATGAATGCATTGTGGCTAATAGTTTAACATGATCTTCATCGTTCATGATGTCACATGGGATTTTTGGACACCATCCTCAGAATGATTAGACTGAGCTTGTTTTTCATTATGAGATTAGGAAACTCGTTTTTCTCCATTTTCTTAGAAAAATCAACTTGCAACCAGAATACTAGAATATCTTGCTCTTTGCCAAGGCACTTTCATTCCATTTGGACAGATGACCCATCTTAGGTTCTTTCAATAATTTAGCTTCAACTTTGCATTGAATGATATTTACCCAGTGTGAACATTTTCTTATGTTTGGATAGGTGGTTTTGTTGCTTTACTACAAACATGAACAGATTTTCCTGGCTTTGTGTTACAACGGCGTGATAATTGTCCATAGTAGAAGTACTTCCTCTTCCACCAAATGGTGGGGCAGTGGTGGTGAAAGTGTTGGCTCGTCACCCCAAGACCCGGGTTCGATTCCCCACATGGGTACAATGTGTGAAGCCCATTTCTGGCGTTTCCCGCCACGATGTTGCTGGAATATTGCTAAAAGCAGCATAAAACCATACTCACTCTACCAGATGGAAGGGGGGATGTATGGTGGCTGTTCAGTCACTGTTCCAATGTTTCATGAACGTGTATTAGGGAAATGTTTGTGTTATAGTGTACAGGGGTGTTTTATTACAACAGTTGTTATATGTGTATAATTGTTGATGTTTATAATGTTGAAATTAAAGATATGAATATATTTTCAGTGATGAATCATTTGCCCTACAACATATAAAAATCATCAGTTCAGATACCGTTTCCATGTACACCTGTGTTCATAAGTTTTTAGGTTAATATTACTCATTATTCCAAGAATCATTGCTTTGAGATCTCTTGTTCATTATGCCTAAGTTGATTAAGTGAATAAAACAAACAAATATATTTTGTTTTCTTTATTTTCTTTGCATTGAGACCACAGTATTTCAAGATACAGACAATCATAAATTAGCATTTTGTCTTCTCCACTGTAAAATACCCCTGTTTCAATATACAAACAAATTGTATAGTGGAGGCAGTTTGATAGTGTTATTGACATCTTTATTCATGAATAATGTCGGCCTCCGGCCCATGTTCATACATGCATGTGGTCAGTCAGCATATAATGTATATGACAATATATATAGAGAGAGAAGAGAATAAGAATTAATCA